ATCTCACCAACTTACACCACAACATCAAAATCACACATCTAATTATTTAACAATTACATAAACATTACATCATTAATTATTTAATTAACCAAAAAAATTACATCTTTATAACAAATTAATTATTAAACAAAACTATTAAATATAAACTAGGCAAACGTGCATTGCACGTTGCTTGCACCTAGTGATAGGAAAGGTCTGTATGTGCACGGAAAATTTGGAGATCATAGTGAGCTAAATGGAGAGAATGCAAGGGAAGATCAAAATATGAAAATATTGGTGAAACAGCTTTAAACACAAACTTCAAGGCAACAAAAGATGTTGTGACGACAATGACTTCACATCTCACTTCTACCAAGAATGGAAAAGATACTAGCAACAATCAGCAATTATTTTAATCATAAATTTTGATTTCAAGGTCAACAAGTACACTTCGACGTATGCATATATACTTGAAAGAAGAACATCAATATTTGAACCTTACAGAAGTGTGTCCAAAATATAGAGGATGAAGAAAATCATGACATGAAAACATGCATAATGATATAAACTTCTGAACAAGAAAAAAGATTGAAAATTTATCCCTTGTTTGGCCCCAATATTTTTAAAACTCATTTTTCCTCCTCATTTTCAAACACACATTTTATGGGTTCCACGGCCTTTATCAACTTTTTAACCACACACTTCAACTTTTATCAAAATTTACTAAATATCTGATTTTTAGCCAAACCAAACTGGGGCTTATTCTCAAAATCAGATGTTAGCATTCAGAAACAGATAAAATGATGACCATGACAGACAGAAATATGTAGAAAATTTGAGATGCAATAGATTTAGTGGGACTCAAAATGAGAGTTATTGAAGGAATCGATCATTTAGAAGTTCAAAGAAGGAAAATATCAGCTTCGGTAATTACTAACGTGTGGCAGGATATCCCACTTACCCACTTCAGGTAACAATATAACAGACAAAGGCTCTCTAAAAGACAAGTTTAATCGAGTAAAATAAACCAGGCTCTTTTAAAGATACTCCACAGCACAAATAATTCTTCATTCAGTCTAAGTTAATGTCTCCATTGTTTAAATACAAATTTTCTTTTTGCTAGTAGTAACAATAAGCAGAAATTTCATACTCTTTAGAATGTTCATGCATATAGTTCTTCATGATGAAGACTGATCAGGAGTGCTGGAGTAGAGAAACAGGTCTTTGTGGAACAGTTAGTTTGTAGATTCATGATATTTAACAGAATGCAATGGGAATCTTGGGTATTGTACTGTCATCAAAGGACTGGAGTGCGGAAGTGGTTGTCCGGAGTCTGCTTTTCAAATTGCCAGGGGCCACAGCTTCTTATAGCAGGATAATGAGAAGGCAGAGGAAAACAGAGAAGAATATTTTTGTGGTGGTGTGGGGGGGGCATGTAATCTTGCAAGTTCTGAGAACCACAAGGCGTGCAACTTGGACTTTCAATGGGACGCCTCTAAGAGACCACGGAGTGGGTACCGCAGTGCGACTGAACTAATTTTTTCTCGTTTACCCCATCTCTTCTCGAGAAACAAGTGGGCTATTTTCCTGTAAAACTTGTTCTCAGTTTCATATGTGGCTTTTCCACAATGATCTTTTCCTTGGTTTGGGGAAGAACCATTTCAGAAAAGTATTGTGCAGGAAGAATATAAGGACAAAGCAGATAACTGAAGTAGCTGAGTCGAAGGAAAATGTGGGCAGATTTTCAAAACAACAAAGTCCAAGGCTAAGGATGCAAGTGATCCTGGAAGGAAGGAAGGAAGGAAGCAGGAAGAGTAGATGGATAAGTAGGAGGGTAACGGAGACATGACATGAGATGAAACAATGACTGTGATAAAGGACATTCATGGAGTGCAGTCATGATACTTCTGCTGGCGACCTATGAACTTTTTGGAGCTAGGAGAGATCTGGGACATTGTGAAGGATGAATCATAAGCAGGATCCTCAGGGGAATATGATAGTTCATTTTGATGAAGAGACCAATGGTCAGAGAGTACAAGTAAAAAAGCTTGGCCCATTTGAGAAAATGTTGAATTGCAATGACGACGAAGAACAGGAAAGGAATAAATATCAAATGAGAACACAAATTTGCTAAATCAAATTGTCAAGTTTTTTGAACCTGTAGCTTTCCTTTCTGATAACACATAGAAGTTCGGTACATTCTTTCAGATATCATACACTTCTATCCACCTCTCTCAAAATGTAAGAGATATGGGTGCAAAAGCAAACATATAAGGGACTGTACCGTTCTTAAATCCACATTGTATCTTCAAATTGAAAATTTGAAGATGAACACGTGATTACAGCCAAACAACGCATAAAATTTGTAGTGCAGGTAAAAATTCTATTTAAATCTCCATCCAGGCAAATCTAAAGTGTAGATTTGAACACATATTCAGCAGTGAAAAACACTTTACAATTGACATTCCACTCTGATCATACTAACAGAGACACTGAATTTATTATAGAGCTTTATATTTTGTCTATTCCCATATCATATTCCCTGCATGACAAAATGTACGACAAAAAAAATATAAGATGAAACTGAAATAGGTTACATACACATAAGGGTTAGTACGGCACAGGAAATGCTATCTAAAATCGCAGGCATATAAATAATGATCTTCACATACATGTTACTAAACATGACTAGACTAGTGCACTCAAGATACAGAAATGGAAGCACCACCTGTCTAATGACAAAAAGTCTGCCAGTGCCCTATTATTAAAACTATAAATGTAAAGCAATGAATGCCTCTAGCCAAAGAAATCTAAAACTCCACCAAATTTGTAGGGCATATTATAATCTGTCCGAACATGAAAAACCACACATGGGTTACTCCAAGTGAAGGTAACATAACATAATTTTTTTTTTTTTTGATAATCGTGGATGTCCAGGCCAGCTTGCGCACACCTCAACTAATTCCACGAGGCCCTGAAGTTTACGGCTGGGTACTCACCTCAGTGGCCCTGGAGGACTCGAACTGGTGACCGGGAAGCAAACCGAAGGCCAACATAACATAATTACACAACGATTAAGAGCATAAAAGATGAGTAACTACGAGCATTACATAATTAAAAATCTAAAAGAATAACTCCCACATGTCTTGTAGCACAATATGATATTCATTCAAATCGCATCCACGTACTAAATATAATATTCGAAGAGTGAATAAACTTACTACAAAGCTGTCATCTGTGAACAGGTCATTTGCCCAGACAGCCCTAATTATCCATGTACTTAAAAGATTTCTCTGCTTCTTGTTAAGGACCTACAACAATTACATTAAATCGAGATTAAGGCCCTGTTTGGGAGTGATTTTGATTTTTCTACAGTAAATCAATTCTCATTTTCAACCACACATTCTTCAATAAAATAATATTTTCCATCACATCAATAATTTTTTCTTCTTTTTCAACCACACATTTCCCATCATATCACTGTTCAAAATCAATTCTTCTCCCAAAAATCTCTCCCAAACAAGCTCTAAGTAAAAGATTACAAAAAGACGGAAAACACATAAAGGCTGGAGGAATTTAAATGCTCACATCAGCTGCATCTTGAGCTGCCAAGAAGAGAGCATGATAGTCAGCTTGTAAATGGGGCTCATTACAAGTAGTCAAAGACGACATTGCAGCTTCAAGTATGGCAAAGAAGTGATCAGCAGTTGCATGCTTAATACTACCAGCCTGAACCAGCTGTATAGCAAGCTTCGAGGCCTTATTGAACTTTGATGGGTTCTTTATATGAGATGCTATTTTCTGCATGGCATCAATAACTTGCTTTTCTGAGGCATCTGTCGTCGTTTTAAATCTCAAACGTTTTTCAGGAACAGCAGCTGTGAGTGACAAGGACCATTCAGCATTTTGTTGTGGAGAAAATATACAACATAAAAAAAAATGAACAACACTTGATAAACATGAAACCCTAACATATAGCCTTTAAAAAATAAAAAAATTATCAAAAAGATATTTTTGATGTACAAGGGATTTTACTAAAGATGTGAACTGCAAAAGGCTATTCAAGGATAAAAATATTATAGTTTAATTGCATTTGGTCAAATTTAGTAATCCCAATTCGCTTTTCATGTTTCATACCTAAACCAAAATTATAACAAAACTCCATTACTTATTTGTTGCTAGTAATTTTAAAATTGCCATAAACGCCGTTGCTCATCAAATAGTGAACAAATTTTAAATGATAAATCGAATCACCTTCACAAGGCAATCGTACCACTGCAAAACTTTGAAACCCTCAAAAAAACCTTGAAACCCATAAATTAAAACTAAAAGCTGAAGAATTTAAATTCCATCAATATAACCGCATCTTCACAGGTAATTATCTGGGAAAAAAAACTGCGTAACAATCGCAAAACGAGTATTTAAACAACAACCTAGTCCAGAAGCTCGACAAGTAAAATTGAATAAAAAATTAAAATTTTGCCACGAAATGAGATGAAATACCTTGGGGCTGTGATTCAGGAGGTGGTATGCGACGTTTTAGAGCGCTCTTGAGTGGAGGAGCGGGAGGAGGTGGGATTGGTATAGATTCTTGAGTGCTGCTTCTACTAGTGTTGATTGAAGAATGTGTATTTTGTTGGGGTTGGGACTGAGACATAGACGGCGGTGGCAAATCTTGAAAAAGGTCATCCGCCATTGTCGTGTTCACTTGTAACCTTGTTCCTCGAATTCTCTCCCGGCTTCTATTCAAAAGAACCGAAGAAAGTGAAAACTCGGAAAAATGAAAGCAATTGGCAATTGAAATAATAAAAATCGGTAAAATTTGCACAAATCATCCTCAACATATCGGGTTTAGGACAAGTTAGTTCTTAATAGTAGGGATAGCAAAACTCGACAAACCTAATATCTGCGGGGTCCCGCCACGAGTGGGGGCGGGGATAACCAATTTAAATGGGTAACGGGGCTGGGACGGGTAACGGGGGGCCCGTCCCGTCCCGTTAAATTTTTTTTTTTAGAATTTAATATTTTAATTGAAAATTTTCATTAGTTTTAATAAAAAATAGCAACTAAAATTATTTGTCTAAATTTAATGAATATGGACAATAAAAATAAATTATCAAAAACTAAAAAAAAAAAATTTAACGGGGAATAAATGGGGAAATGACATACCCCCGCCTTAAACGGATAACGGGACGGGGATGGGATGGGACGGGAGGCCCTGTCCCGCTCCGTTGCCATCCCTAGTTCTTAGGACTATATTGGTTTAAGTGTGACGTGTCAAGTAGTCATTTCAAATGGATTCCATCTCTTTCGCATGTGGTATTCTCCTCATAATGTTCTTTAGAAAATGTGTGTTTGATATGGAAAACATTTTGTAATAGGTTTTTTTTTTAAAAATGTGTGATTAAAAAGTAAGAAAAATTTTGAATTTATGTATAAAATTATTTTATTAAGAGAATATGTCGTTAAAAATAAATTTGAAAAAAAATTGAGGTTTTTAAGAAATAAAGATAAACAGCTACATATTACACAATTACTATAGATTGAGACTTTCCACATGCACAATTATTATAGAAAGAAAGCAGATAAGTAAACTTTTTACTAAGTAAATTTTTATTTTATTAGTTGTATTTTCACTTTATAAACAATTTTTTACAAAAAAGTAATTTTTTTTTTATAAATAAGTTTTTCAATTATAAAGTAATTTTTTTTGTTTTATAAATAATTTTTTTACTTAATGTATTTTTATTTAAAAGTTGGTTTTGAACAAAATATATTGGTTTTAAATAATTATTTTTTATAAATGGTAAAATTAAAACAGAATATAAGAAATAATCAAAACCTATTGATTTGACAGAAACGATCAAAATTATATTAAGCCGACTTTGAGTGATTTTTAAAGCATCCAAAACCAGCGCCCGAAAAATCTAACAAGCACCAATTTTCTCAACCCCTCATAAACGGTGCAAATCAAAATCAATAAAAAAAAAATACAGTGAAAAAAACTCCCAAGCATGCCCTTAGTGTTGCATTAAAACAAAAAAATACTAACAACTGATGTAATTCGGCAAGGAAAATTACAAGTTTCTAGTAAGAAAAATTTTGTTAGAAGTAACATAAAATTCAAGGGGCTTTATTTTCAGAAACAACATTATACCAGATTATTACATAAGTAGAAAAAATTATTTTACATGTTCAGACAAAACATTATACAAGGTTTGTCACATAGGTCGAGACCAGATCATGTTCTAGCGTAACAAGAAAACACGACATCAACAATTGGAAACAATGTTATTCATGCACAAAAATCCATCGTTAAAGAATTGATACTCAACGACAAATTAAGAAACTTACGACCAATTTAGAATTATCTATACTACCAACAAGGTCTATTCTATGGCTAGTTGACAAAAAAGAAAAATAGCAAATGATTGTTTAGTTGTTCGCTCAATTTATCATTAAAATATATCGTATAAGGCGGACACGATTCTACTTGTAGTCGTTTTTTCTATGAAGTTTTACTTTTTAAAGGATAACCGGACGAAAACTTCGGACGAAGCTAGTGCAAGAATTTCAAGAATTGAAGTAAGTTGATGACCAATGTTACACCATCCGGATATGACCAATTGCTTGAAAATGCTCGCGCGAACTGATAATTTGTTCGGTCGCTTCAAGCATGGGATGTCAAAAGTAGGTTATGGAATTCTATCCACTACATTGATTTGAAGGTGTGTCTTTGAAGCTGGAGTGCGTCTTTCAAGTGAAAGAAAAGTAACCTCCCAAGTTCACCAATTAGACAAACTTAAAGTGCAGTGCTAAGTTAGTGACTTTAGAACTTGATACTCATTATAAGAATTATCGATTTGTATATATAAAAACATTTTCTGAGTTAATCATGCAAGAGTTTGCGCACTCACTTTCTTAAGTTCAGATTCTTATAGTAAAAAAATCCTTGTTTGACTTTAGCATCAAAGCTTATAATTTGATCACCGTACTCCACTCTAGCCTAAAGACGACAAAAAAATTTCGTTCAATCAAGTACCTCCGGACCCCGTCCCGAATGAGACGGAGATTACCCATCTAACCAGATAAATGGGATAGAGATGGGACTGGGATCATTGCCCCGAAATGAGTATGGGTCGGGTATGGAAAACATAGCCCATGTCCCTCTACCTGCTCATTTAAAGTTAATTTCAAATTTGAACTTTTTACCTAACAAAAATAAAAAATTTATTCATCATTTTTAATGAGAACATGAGTTGTTTTTAATAAATTGAAAAAAAAAAGTAATAATATTTATTAACCAAAGATATAAAAAATAAACGGGGTAATAAATGGGGTAGGAGTTCCCCCGATAATAAATGTTAATGAAATAATGGATTTTTAAAAAAAAAAAAAAATTGCCAGTTAGACGTCATTTTAAAGGCTCATGTTTAACGTATTTTTGACTATTTTCGAAATATGTTTGAACTATTCGATATGTCCATAATGTAGTTCTTGAAATAAGCTTCGAAATGATATAAGCAATTTATAGATTCGATTAGCGTATCATCGTCGAAGAATTTTTAAAATTAGTATATTTTTTAAATTCAAATTTATTTTGATTTTACCCCTATTTGGTGGAGATTAAAATCAATTTTTTAGTAAATTTTGATAAAAATTAAACAGTTACGGATTCCATAAAATATGTTATTAAAATTAATTGTTACATTTAATTTAGATTAAAATTTCAATTTCAATCGATACCAAACGTGATTTTAAAAAAATATATATCAAAAGTTGGGGGGCCACGTGCCCCCCAGGACCCCCCGGGTCCGCCCATGAATGGGGCAGAGATGAGACGGGGATCATTGCCCCGAAGTGAGTATGGGGCGGGTATGGGAAACATAGCCCATGTCCCGCTACCTGCTCGTTTAAAGTTAATTTCAAATTTAAACTTTTTACCTAACAAAAATAAAAAATTAATCTATCATTTTTAATGAGAACATAAGTTGTTTTTAACAAATTAAAAAAAGTAATAATATTTATTAACCAAAGATATAAAAAATAAACGGGGCAATAAATGGGGTAGGAGTTCCCCCGAACCTGTCCCGTCCAGTTTTAATCGGATATGAGGACGGGATAAGGTTACAAAAATATACAGCCACTAGCAAACTAACATGGGGTCAAATGACCCCACAAATTTTATTTTATTTTAGTTTTCCTCTTGAGTTTTTTTTTTTAATATATAAATATTTTTGAATTCGACCCTACAAAAAAAATGGCTCGATCCGCCCCTGTATACAACGGAACGTGGTAAAAATGATCGATCTATTTCATACCCTGTCATTCCTACTTTAGCCACCGATGAGGACTAATTAATTCGTTTCGCCTCAAAAAGACGACCACTCTAAAAGAATCAAGATCTTACTTTTGACTCATAGGTTAGGTTAGGTACGTCTCATATGATAATTGTTTTGAGATAAAATAGAAAGGAGGACGTGCTCCCCACTTGCTCACATGAAAACCCTAATTTCGAAGACGTTTCTTTCACATTTCTTTGTGTGCTTTAAAGAAAGCGACAAAGAAAAAGACAGATAAGCGAAAACTTTGACGCAATAAAACGCACATCTCCACCCCCAAAACCAAAGAACACGCACTGTTTATTCCAATATTAAATGCACAAAACCCCTCGTACCTCAACTTAATCAACACTTGTTTTCTCTCTTGATCACGTCCATAATTTGATTTCAGATGCAAATACCATCAGATAAGGATTAGATATTCTGATCAAATATACTAAACGAGTTTGAGAGCAATTTGGAGTTTGAATCTGGTCCTAAAATGGCAGCAAACAACAGGTGGTGGACTGGCCAAGTAAATCTATCAGGAGTGGAGTCTTCGTCTCCACCTCTTAAGAAACCAGATCTTGGCATATCCATGAACGAGAATATTGGATTTTTACCAACTTCATCGCTTCTAAACAAGCCAGATCTGAGCATATCTATGAATGAAAACATGGGGAATGGTGGACGGGACGACGAAGAGGAAAGGGAACACAGCGATGAGCCTAAAGAGGGTGCCGTTGAAATCCCATCTCGTAGGGCAAGAGGCAGACCCCAAGGTTCCAAGAACAAGCCAAAACCACCAATTTTTGTGACTAGGGACAGCCCTAATGCCCTTCGCAGCCACGTTATGGAGGTGACGAATGGGTGCGATGTAGCGGAGAGCATCGCACAGTTTGCGAGGAAAAGGCAAAGAGGAGTTTGTGTACTGAGTGCAAATGGAACAGTGACAAACGTGACAATTAGACAGCCTTCTGCTCCTGGCGCAGTTATGGCTCTACATGGCCGGTTTGAAATTCTGTCTCTGACGGGTTCTTTCCTCCCCGGGCCGGCTCCGCCGGGATCTACAGGGTTGACTATATACTTAGCTGGTGGTCAGGGACAGGTGGTGGGAGGTAGTGTTGTGGGTTCTCTGGTGGCTGCTGGTCCGGTCATGGTGATTGCATCCACGTTTTCGAATGCTACATATGAGAGATTGCCTCTGGAGGAGGAGGAAGAAGGCAGCGGTGGCGGTGGAATTACAGGACCGGGACAGCTTGGAAGTAGTGGCGGTGATGGATCGCCTCCAGGGCTGGGAATCAGAGAGGCAGCACAGCAACATGGTGGTATGGGCGATCGATCATCTTTGCCTGTATATAATATTCCACCGAATTTGCTTCATAATGGCGGACAGTTGAACCATGAATCATTTGCTTGGAATCATGGCCGCCCTTCTTACTAAAATAAGAGATAGAAAACTACTTTCTTGCGAAAGAATGAGGTTGAAGGTTTGATGTCTATATCAACGGTCTTTCTCATAACTCTGATCCAACTTCATTCTACATATAATTCTGCATTTAAATGTTTTCCAGCATCACCATAACCATCTTCTTCTTCTACTGGTTAATTTTTTTCTATCTATGGTATAAAACTAGGATGCACAGAAACTTCTAGAACACTAGCGTTTCCGTTTCGAACATGTTTTTATATTGAAACTCTCTCAGAGATGTTTTGGAAACTCAAGAAATTAGCATTTGATTGACCGATGTAGTCACCACTCTTTAATTTCATATAATCTTGTTTTACAGATTGGTAACAATTCTATTACATTTTTTATAGTTTTAATTTTCTTTTTATTCCTCTTTAAGAAATCAGTAAGAGGTGGAGATGAAGATAATATCAGAAAAAGAAAGATTATTCTTAAGGTTAGGGTTTTTATTTTATTTACCTTTTGTTTTTCTTTCAAATAATTACTTTTTTTTCTCCTAATTAATATCATTTTAGGTGAATAATATTGCCTGAAATTCATGCTTCATACTATATTGTTTGTTTCCATAGAGATTTTAACTTAATTCCCAGTATTAAATAATTTTTTTAGTAAAAATATTGTTAAATAATCAACGGTATTTAATTAAGCCTCCGTTTGGATAATAATTTATATATAATTTCAATCCCACATTCATAATACTATTTATATTATCCACGCGTTTTATATGATTTACAACTATTCATATTACATCAGTCTTTATAAACAATTTATAAATTTGCTAAACAAAGGCTAAATACGTTGTTGAAAGTTTTTTTTTAAATGTTCTTGGGTAATAATAGATTACTCCCCCTACCAAAATATATAAGTAAGAAGAAAATTTATGAAAAAAAAAATAAAAAATAAAAAAGATATATAAAAGTTAACAAAGAAATCCCATTAATTTTCCTCTGATAATTAATGTTAATCAGTAGACTTGATTCATTGTAGTATCTAAGCAACAAATATCTGATTCAAATCTTAACATAATCAAATTAAGAATAACTTGAAAAAAATTTACTCAGCCTTTATCTAAATCCTTTTAATTAATATAGATAACTAGAAAATGAACTACCTTATAAAATATAAGCACAGGTGGGTTTTAGTTAAATATCATTAAATTACCAAATCAATGTCCCCATTTCTTTCATTAATTGGTACATAGTTTAGGTCTGATCTGGGGATGGAGATATATATGTCAAGTTTGATGGCTGCAATAAACTCAAGTATGAAGGTTATATTATTATATTAATAGCTGTTTGTTTCGGATTAAAATCAAATTTTAATCTAAATCAAAGTCAAACAATCAATATTAACCACATCTTTCATGAGTCCCACAATTTTTCAAATTTAAAATTTTTTATCACAATCTACTGAAAATTTAATTTTAATCCCCACCAAACACCTACTTATCAAATGTATCGTAACATCGAGTTTTAGCCTATCAAGATTCAATATTCAACAAATTAATGTAAGTTGGATAGAAAGTAGTGTTTGTATTGTTTAACCATTTATCGTTGAGAGTGGAACTAAAGGCGGCTGCTGACATCCCTAAAGGAAGAATTATTAGAGGAGGAGTTTGGGTATAATTATAAGTAATTGGTGGGACAATTGTTTGCTTATTATCCTTAAAATAAAATATTTTAGGAAAGCAGGTATAACCTACTCAATTATATACTATAAAATATGAACATAGTCAGCTTTAGGAGTTGCAAAATGACAATTTCCTAGGTCATCATCATCTATATATGCCATTGATCACTTTATTGTTTTTTTCTTAGAGCAATTTTCTATAGACAACAATCAACAATGGCCGGCCAGCAATGTTTTATGGGTAATTGAGAATTAACAGAATATAAAAAGATTGAAAAAAACAAAAAACAGAGAATTGGCGAAGGGTATAAACACTGGGAATAACAAATTTCAAGAATTTTAAATTGACTCATGTCTAACCAACTTGCTTAAAAATCAAGGTGCAATCACTTGGCTTGGCCTTCTTGAAAATTTATGCCATCAACGTATGTTTCACCCTATCGTGCTTGGATGCCAAGCTAATGTTTATGTACAAACATGGGAAATCAACTGCAGTAATATATCCTCGATAATGGAAACTAGCGCATGCCATTAGAATGTACATGCATTTCTCTATTATTTTCGTCTACAGATTGTTAGAAACATTTCTAGCATATGACTTCGAGCAGTTAGTCGAGTCTACTCCGTGTTTTAGATAGTTATGTTTGACTTGCTGAGATTGTTTAGACTTACTGAATATAAGCGTCGGTTTTCTTTCAAAATCTTTGCGAAGTACAAATTGAACCAGCACATCTTCGTATTTGACAATTGACATATCTTTTATGTGCCTCAATGATCCAAAAGACCTGATGCATGATACCATAGTTGAAAATTAAGGCCAAATCGTTGATTCGTAAATAGTATCCTAGTTTAAAAGGAAATGAAACAAAAGAGTAATGTTGTTTAGCATCACTGATATTTAACACAAGTATAGGTGACAACATTAATATATTAAATTACATGTTCAATTAAATAAATCGCATAAACTTATCATATGATGTTATATAGACTGGTGCTCTGTCATGCATTATTCTTAAAAATATATTTAAGAGAGAATATCTATAAAGATACAAAAAAAGAAAAACTACGGGTTGTCTTTGACATAAATATTCTGCCAAGTGTCAAAGAAAAATGCCACTTGGGCTTTATTACAGCCAGATTCTATGTACCAATCACAAAGAGACAAAAAAATTCTTTAAATGCTAGACCTAATTCTTTTTTCCTCGCTGTAACGTCCAAGTAAATCCCATCCATTCACTTTTTAAAATCTTTTCATTAAAAAAAATCATTTATTTTGAGTAATTTTAACAATTTTCCAACGAAGTCAAACATGTAATACATGCTAAATTATATACAACCAAATTTATTTATAATTATCAAGATAGATAAGACAATGTCACTCTAATTTCATTGATCCAAAAGCATACAAACACAGTCATTATTATTAGTTGACTTTTTAGTGAGTTAAATATATAAATATTTAGAGATTGATAAGAGTAAATATTGAACTTGTCTTCATCCGCGGACCCAAGGGTGGACCTAGGGCACGTGCCCCCAACTTTGCTTTAACGTATGTTTCACCCTATCGTGCTTAGATGCCAAGCTAATGTTTATGTGCAAACATGGGAAATCAACAGCAGTAATATATCCTCGATAACGGAAACTAGCGCATGCCATTAGAATGTACATGCATTTCTCTATTATTTTCGTCTACAGATTGTTAGAAACATTTCCAGCATATGACTTCGAGCAATTAGTCGAGTCTACTCCACATTTTAGATAGTTATGTTTGACTTGCTCAGACTGTTTAGACTTACTGAATATAAGCGTTGGTTTTCTTTCAAAATCTTTGCGAAGTACAAATTGAACCAGCACATCCTCGTATTTGACAGTTGACATATCTTTTATGTGCCTCAATGATCCAAAAGACCTGATGCATGATACCATAGTTGAAAATTAAGGCCAAATCGTTGATTCGTCAATAGGATCCTAGTTTAAAAGGAAATGAAACAAAAGAGTAATGTTGTTTAGCATCACTGATATTTAACACAAGTATAGATGACAACATTAATATATTAAATTACATGTTCAATTAAATGAATCGTATAAACTTATCATATGATGTTATATAGGCCGGTGCTCTGACATGCATTATTCTTAAAAATATATTTAAGCGAGAATGTCTATAAAGATACAAAAAAAGAACAACTACGGATTGTCTTTGACATAAATATTCTGCCAAGTGTCAAAGAAAAATGCCACTTGGGCTTTATTACAGCCAGATTCTATGTACCAATCACAAAGAGACAAAAAAATTCTTTAAATACTAGACCTAATTCTTTTTTCCTCGCTGTAACGTCCAAGTAAATCACATCCATTCACTTTTTAAAATCTTTTCATTAAAAAAAATCATTTATTTTGAGTAATTTTAACAATTTTCCAACAAAGTCAAACATGTAATACATGCTAAATTATATACAACCAAATTTATTTATAATTATCAAGATAGAGAAGACAATGTCACTCTAATTTCGTTGATCCGAAAGCATACAAACACAGTCATTATTATTAGTTGACTTTTTAGTGAGTTAAATATATAAATATTTAGAGATTGATAAGAGTAAGTATTGAACTTGTCTTCACCGACGGACCCAAGGGTGGACCTGGGGCACGTGCCCCCAACTTTGCTTTTTTTTTTTTTTATTTTTTTTTTTAAAAAATTTCTATAGTTTGTTTTAATTTTCAAAATCATTATAAGATGTGAAACGATATCGAAATATTGTATTTTTAATACCATTTCGAAGCGCTCACAGTCTTGTTTTTTATGTCGTTAATGGCGTGCAAAACGACTAATCGTAGCAAATGTTACGACTTGTCAAAGTAGGCGGTTTAAAATTAGTATTTCAAGAATTTCGATAACATGCTAACTTTAAAAATTTTCCGATGATCGTATGATAGTCGAATCTATAAATCGCTTATATCATCTTAAAACTCGTTTTGAGGACTATATTAGAAGCATATTGAATAATTCAAAAAGATATCGAAAATAGTTAAAGATGCGTCAAACGTACGTTTTAAAAAGAGGCATCTACCTCGTATTTTTTTCAAAATTTTAATTATTTCATTAACATTTATTATTTTTGTGATTCAAGATGTAATTTGTATTATTTTATTAGGAAAATTATATGGGATATGACATCAAGATTTTCGAAATTTTACATCCAAAAAAGTCATATTTCATGTAAATTTTTGAATGCAAAATTACATAGGATGTGATTTTTTTGTATGTAAATTTTCGATTGTAAAATTCTCTCAATTTTTTGTAAGTTCGATTGTGCCCCCTAACTTTAAATGCTTGTCTTGACCATTAAAAATAATTTTTGGTAATACTATTAAGAACTTATACTTAATTATGTTTTAAATCGACCCTTCTACTAGTAAAAAGCTTGCCCCGCAAACAACCTAACTGATTTAAAACCTTCTCAACTATGATCAAATATTATCCCTCCACCGCGATGGAAGCCAATTTGAAATTGTAGAATATAATTAAAATAATCATGTGATTTAGTTCGTAAAAATTCATTCTGTTGGTAAATACACTTGTGTCGTGGTGGAGAAATAAGGTTACAAAAATTTTGAGTAATTATGTCAATAGTCATTGAAATTATTTCTCTTACTGTAAGGCCCTGTTTGATAGACTGTTTTTTCTAGGAAAGATAGAAAATAAGTTTCATTTTCCACTTTTTGACATGTTTGATAGGTTAAATTTTCCAGTCAAAACATTTTCTCATTTAACCCTCACGTGACCTATTTTCCACCAAATTGAGGAAAACATTTTCTCTCGTTTCAGTTGGGAATCGATTTTCCCTGCAACTGGAAGAAGGAAACCCTTCTCTCCAGCAAGCTACACTTGGGGGCGTTTGGGTCTTTCACCACCGCCAGACAACGGCGGCGGAGAATACTCACCCATGGGTCAAGAAGGGGGGGAGGGTGAAACCAGGTAGAGCCAAGAGGATTCATGGAAATACAGTATAATAAATAAAGAAGAGTGGTAATTTAGGTTGCGGAGTATATTAAATGGGTGCTTTATTGGAGTTGAATATCGCTGCTGGAGTCTTAATTGGGACTAGTGATGTAGTTGCTCAGAAGATTTCTGGGGTGAAAAAGCTTCAATTGAGAAGAATACTTCTTTTGATGGTACTAGTAACTTTATATTTCTCTGGGTGATTCTTAAATATGATTTCTTCTTGAATCAATTGATATGATCACTCGCTGATGTACTTGGGCTTTGACTACCTGGTTTTTCATTGCTCTACCTAAATATGATTTCTTCAAATGAAGTGTCGTCTTCTTCTGTGCCAGATTCCAGAGCCATTCTAGTTCACAAATTCCCACCTGTTGGGATGGTAGGGGAGTTAGTCGGAGGTGGGGTTGATGCGGGAAGAATTGGTGGAGAAACTGGAGCTGAAGGTCTGTTCTTCTGCTTTGTATTCAATTGAAGTGATTTGGATGTATCAATTTCCTATTGACTTGAATTGAGTTTAATTATATTGTGAATTGATTTGTTTCAAGCCCCGTTTCTTGTGTATTGTAAGCTCAAATCACGGATTGAAGACCCATGAAGGAGGCTGGGCAGCGGCGGTGTGGATTTTGCTGGTGGCGGAGAGTTGGCTGGGGGAGTTGGGCTTGCAGGTGGTGGAGAAGTTGTTGGAGTAGGAGGAGGCTGGGAGGTGCAGGCAGCGTTGATACTGGAGGATGAACGGATGTCATCGGAAATTTTTTGTTAAGTTGGATAGTTGAGCACAAATAATCATAATTTTCCACAAAAAACAAAGTCGATCAAACACCAAAAGTTCGAAAATCTCAACATTTAACCTATTTTCCACCCTTGCAATCAAACGCACCCTAAGAGAGAATCAAGTTTTCAACTATTACACTAATGATTGATAGTAAAAAATTAACATCAAATCTTATGATATGTCATTAAATGTCAATGTGTCACCAAACAACGTAATAAATTAGTGCAAGTCAACAAAATTGTGGAATTAGGACTGTAGATAAATACATTCGGTTAAGTAAATGTAATGTGATTTTCTTTATAATAATATTTTTTTATTGATTTGATGTAATATAAATAATGTCATTTGATTACACGTTAGCACTTAATAGTGCCACATAAGATTAAAGGCTCGTTTGTTTTTTATTCTCAAATTCTACAGTAAATCAATTTTCATTTTCAACTACATATTTTTCATTAAAATAATATTTTTCATCACATCAGCAATTTTTTCTTCTTTTTCAACCGCACATTTCCCATCATATCACTATTCAAAAATCAATTCTTCCTCCAAAAATTCCTACCAAACAAGCACTAAATGTTAACTTTTTTGACTAATCGATAATTAATGTAACAATTAGAAACTTGAATGATTACCACCTAAAAAATTTAATTTCGATAACCATTGACATAATTACTCAAAATCTAAGTGACATTTTATCATTTTATTATTTTGAACACAGTCAACTTTTTCATCTAATCACATCTTGTCAACTAATATTATGTCACTACATCTATCAACCACTTTATGTCAAAGTGGCATAACCCTATGTGATTAAACTAATTGTTAACTTTTAATTTAATATTTATCAATTTTTTTAACTAAATCAAACAAGGTCTAAGCTTTTCTATAAAATAATCCTTTTTTTGGTACAGATTTTTTAAAACTCATTTTCGACCATAAATTCTCCCAATAAAATAATTTTGCACGTGAATAAAACCTTTTCCTATTTTTTAGCTATACATTCTCAAAAAAAATTATTTTTCACAAAATCTATTCTTAATAACTCTACATCAAATGTGGTATCATGTTAGATAAAGGTACTAGATTTCTCATCGCCACTTATTTTTTGAAAAATATGTCTCAGGCTTCTGATCAAAATTTGAATTCAACGCACTGGTGATAGCGTGTTGATCATCTATTACATCGTTCCTTACACTCTGTCACATAGCATCATTTAATTGAATAGCTTAAAAAAAATAGTTTTTTTTATCGACCTTTTTTTTACAACATGACAATTATCATCTATAGTGTAAGGAGAGTATACAAACAACATAATCCTCGAGATAACAATCTTAATTGGTGTACGTTATCTTTTACATCATTCCTTACACTTTGTCACATAGCATCATTTAATTGAACGGTTTAAAAAAAAAAAATTTTCAACCAATCTTTTTTTACAACACGTCAAATGTCATCCATAGTGTAAAGATGGAGTGTACAAACAGCATCAGTGGCGAAGCCATGCATATTATTCAGTGCGGTCACAATTCTTTTGATGCCTTCTTATCCTTTACATGATCTAACAATTCTTTCTCGATTGTCATCTTTATGATAAACATAGTTGTGCCCGCTTTGATTCTCCACTTTTTTAGAGTCACAATTTTGTGTGGCGATATCATGCCACATCCGTCAACTACTTCCCATAGGTCTTGTCCTTGAAGATAAAACTCTATGCAAGTTTATCATGTTATACAATTTTTTGTTACTGAGCTTTTTCATTACGTGTACTCTTTGTAAGTTGTCCATCTTGACTTAATTTACTTCTTCGTAATCAAGCAAATTTTATAGAAGTTTCAGAATCTCCCTTTATACACGAACTCCAAAACCTAAAAAATTCGTCTATGATTGCTATGATACTTCTTCGTAATCTATCATATTTTATAGAAGTTTCAGAATCTCCCTTTATACTCGAACTCCAAAACCAGATAAATTCGTCTATGATTGCTATGCTCTAATATCAAATTGTTGAATTTAAATATTAAAGACAATTTAATTAATGAAAATTTGTGTAATATTTTGTTGCAAAAACACTCTCTCTCACCAAACACCGATACATGCCACCTCACTATCTACAACACTATCACTCCACTTTGTTGTAACTTCAATCTCTCTCTATCACCCCACGCAACCACTTTCCCTAAATCTATCAATTCTCTATTTCTTTCTTCTCACACACCAATAACCCTCGTAACTCTCAATTTTCTCACACCACGTTTATGTATGCATGCATGCGCGCGCTCTCTCTCTCTCTCCATTTAGATACACTTATAAGATATATATACTCAGCAAAGTCGGTGAATTGGACTTCCTAAGTTCTAGATGAATCTGTCAAGGGCGGTGAAGGTAAATTAGTCAAAATAGTGATAATAAAGTAAATAAATCCTAGCACTAGCACCTTCAAGATTCTTCTTCAATGTTGATGATTTCTTCACTTCTCTCAATTGTTGATTTCGAGTATGTGGGCACCGAGAATTTAAGGAAAATGTGCCAAAAGTTCAGTGCAGGCATGTTCCTGCATTGGACCCTTCATGGCTCCGCCCCTGAATAACATAATCCTCGAGATAACAATCATGTTTTGTTTACATCATTCCTTACACTCTGTCACATAACATCATTTAATTGGACAATTTTAAAAAAACAATTTTTTCAACCATTCTTTTTTTTGACAGCAAAACAAATGCCATCCATAGTGTAAGGAGGGGGTGTACAAACATCATAATCTTCAAGATAACAATCATGCTTGGTGTACATCATCTCTTACATCATTCCTTACACTATTCCACAATCTGCCACAAAGCTGATTAATGCCACCATAGATGAGTACAATCTCCTTTCAATGACTGGTTGTAGGCTTCTGAAACTTCCCATGTACCCACACTCTTCTCATGATCTTCCCGTTCCGGCGATTCACCGACTTCACACAACAATATTCAAGCTCAAGCTACAAAAAAACTCGCGATGTCTTATATCAGCAATCAGTGGAAATTGGAAAACAAAAGCATAATTGAAAGTAATAATGCATTTAGTTAACAGAACCCAAGTGTAGTTTTCAGACGGATTATCCTCAGAACCAAACTTTTTGTTTGTTTACTTAGATGCAATTTCATACAATACATACAAATCACTTTCATAATAATAGCACTTCATGCAATAACTATGAACAGCTTTCCATGCACATAGCTTTAGATCTCCAGCTGGAAGATCTAAAAAAGAGCCGAACAGAATAGGAAAACGATTCATGTGGCCGATCTCAACTTTATTTGCGGGTGTGTCGCAGATAAAAGAACTTATAGTCCGTTTAAGTGGATGGAAATTAAACAAGGATTACTTTTTACAGTATCACTGAACTTGAATTTTGAAATCACCAAATGCAAGGTTTCCCTGAAATAAGCAGTTATCAGAGGATTATGTTTACGAAGATTGTTAATACCTCAGTGAAGCCCACAGCAGACATCAAATTTCTCACACTATTCAAGCAGAAGAAATAAGAACGTGTTCCATCTGACCGCAAGTACTCTCGATATCCCACTCTTTGTGCAGGCTCAAACCTAAGCATGGTCATATCGTAAAGACCTGATTTCATTACAGGGAAAGGATTTATCAGGTTTAGACAACAACAGAAAAGTTAGAAACTCTATGCAATTATAAGATGCTGACTCAATACAATCTATTTTATTTGGCTGTTACCATAATCCCTGAATAAAAGTAGACCACCCGGCTTTAAAATAGAGAAGCATTGGGTAATGGCTTTCGGCATCCTGTCAGGTGATACGGCTGATAATGTGAAAATCTGCCACATTAAACATAGAAGATGATATTCAGATGTTTAAATTACAACGAAACCCTTACAGAAAATCACAATACAAAATAGTAACAAACAGTGAAGTACCAAGGTAATGAAATCCACTCCACCAATGCAGCACTTGCTTTCCTCGGAGCAGGAAGGACTATTGATATCTATCTTACAGTTGTCTTCACCTAGATAAGCCTCCAAAAGGGTTAAAAATTTGAAACTCACTAGCTAGCATATTAACGAAAAACGATTATAAACACGAAATGCCAAAGAACAAGATGAATAACAAATTTTGACACCTGGGAAGCCTAGAAACTGCTTCTCCAAGAAACTTCCTTTACAAGAATTGCAGGCCAACCACATAGGAAATCCAAGGGTTGAAAAGTCACATTGGAATGAAGAAAAACGATGCTTAGTAGAGATTGAGTTATCAGCATTAATGATCTCGTTAGCTCTCTCAAGAGCTTCAGTGCTGCAGTCACAGGCATACAAGATGGTGCTCTCTTTTTCACTGCATTACAGGAACAAAAATTCAACGAAAGTAACAGGCAACTGAAAAGGATGCAAAATATTGATTAGCAAAACCGCAAGTTTTTGAGAAAATCAGGATATATCTTATTTTTCAAATTCGCAGAAACAAATGAGAGAGACATAGTACTTACTGATTGAACAAGATATCACATTGTAAAGGAGAAATCCATATCAACAAGAGTAAAAAGCTTCCTAAAACTAAAGAATCTAATCTGTGCTTCCCAACACATACAAGTGGTAAATTCGCAGTTTTCATACATGCTGGATGAACTTGGACTGTTGACTTCAATTGCTGCTCATGGAATTTATACATCTTCAAGGAGAGGAAACAGTCCTTTAACTCTTCTTATCTCAGTTCTTGAGTAGAGTGATAAGTGTATTTTCGGGACTTAAAACTATAGAATTTTATTGATTTTTTGGCAAAATTTTACATAATTTATGTTATATTGCATTGTGTAGGTGAAACTTTATGTTTGATGAAGAATTGGAGAAAAGAAGCAAAATATGGTGAAAAATGGTAAAATCCAAAGTTCGAGGATCAAATTACAAATACTCAAGAAGATATTTTGAAAATTGCTAGGAGACAATTGGATTGAAATTAGAATTCAAAAAGGAATGGAACATAATCAAAGTATTATCAAAATCAATTTCCAATCGCTCAAGATATATTCTAGATTTTTAGCCGAATATTGAGACCCATTTTTGGCATAGTAAACGTCCGAATTGGAAAAACTCTATTTCAATCAAAGTTGTAGCCCTTTACGTTATCTTTCCAACGCACTTTGAATCGCATCAAGCGGATATCAGAAGAGAAAGTTATGACTAAAATACGGACTGCTGTGCAGAGACAAAAAATCAGCGCGCGAAAGCAACTTTCCTTATTCGATTAGAACTCTTTTGGAAACCAATTTGGACGTGATTTTCAACCAATTTTCGGCTCCTATAAAGAGAGAACAGCAGAATACATATGGAGAACCTCCCTAGACCTAAAAATCTCTATATTATACATATTTTGGAGGCGAAGAACGTGGCTAACAACGTGGAATCAAGGCGAATTGCATAGGATATTGAAAATTCTTCATCCGGATTCAAGTTTCACATCAAGAACGTGGATTTTTCCAACTTCTTCCATCTTTCTTATTTCCGGGTGATATTTTTCCAATTATTCTTGTGTAATTTAATTTCTACAATATGCTAGGCTAAATTCCCTTGTATTGGATGGATGATGAAGCTAATTAATTTTTAGTTTTTAATTCGATATCATGTGTTTTTAGTTTAATTCTTGCATTGTGATTTCATAAACATATATGAATTTATTGTTTTTAATGTTTGCGCACCATTATGACAATTAGTTGCTTATTCGTAGTGTTGAAAAACTCACGGTAGGTAGAACACTGTTTATGGAACACACGGACAATATTTATGGCATGTGCGGTCATGTGTGATAATCCTAAACGTCAATGCTTGCTTGTCATATGAATTCGGACTAGGAATAGGATCGTCTCATGGCAATCATAGATTTATTATATCTTGGGAAAGAATAGTAAATGAAAGTGGAATTATCGATCGTCGCAATTGCATGAATCGAATTAATTATCACTGGTTGAGAATTGAAATTAAGAATTGATTAGTGGAGTCGGAAATCCAATACACTCACCCACATTTGATTTAAAACCATTTTTTTATTACTTTCGTAGTTATAGAACGTAGTCAACTAAAAATCAACCATCTTTTGTTAAATTTGCGAATTTAAATATTTCGAATACTTTAAAATTGAGCCTTATTCCCTGTGAGACGATAACTCACTCATCACAATTATTACTTGTACAACGAACTCGTACGCTTGCGAGATTTTTGCATAACATAGAGTAAATAAGTAACTGACTAAAGTGAGCTATTGAATGAAGTACTTAGTTCTTGAATTCTATCTTCACTCTTTAGCTTCCTATCAATCCTAGTAAAATGAACTTTTCTTCCCTATGTTGGAAAATGCAACTATTATATAATTGGTGACGTGGAGAATCCTATCTTATTCAAAGAAAAAGATTCTTACATTCATAAGGGAAGATTGTCTACCATAAGGTTGGGAGAAGACAATGGAAATATCGATAGCCACTTCATATGAAGGGCACAATTAGTAGAAATCCACCTCCTTCGTTAGGGTGATTAGAAAAGACTTTGACTAATAACAATATATAGGCTTTTCTGCTCTTTGTCAAGTAGCTTTTTTTACGTTGGAGGGTATTAGAGAAATCTTCACGTATCTGGATCAGGCTTACTTCTACGAGGTCTGCCTTTCAGCCGGCCAACACAAAAAAATAAGCTTTGCCAAGCATTACTCCAGTGGAAAACAATTTCACACGGAAGCTATTGAATACTTTGATGCAATAGAAGTATTCAATAGTTTATAATCATTTCGAGACCATATCTCATATTTGTTGATATGTTGATTGGGATCATGACTTTAGGCTCCGTATGATACACATTATTTTTTTCATTCTCCTTCTTCTACTCATTTTCTACTACACATTTTTAATTCTATTGTAACATTCAATTCCTCTAAAAGTTTCTTTAACCATAGTCCTTCACATATCCCTTGTGCAGCTGCTCTAAATTCTGCTTCTGCACTGTTTCGTGCCACTACATTTTGTTTTTTGCTTCTCCAAGTGACCAAATTGCCCCATACAAAGGTACAGTATCCTGATGTTGATCTCCTGTCCTCTATAGATCCGGCCCAATAGGCATCTGTAAATATTTCTATTTCTTTCTTCTCACTCTTCTTGAAAAATAAACCCTTTCCAGAGGTGCCTTTTAGGTACCTGAGAATTTTGTACACTGCTTCTAGGTCAGTTTCCTTCGGCGAGTGCATGTGTTGACTTGCCACGCTAACTGCAAACGCAATATCTGGTCTCGTGTGTGATAGGTAGATTAACTTGCCAACCAATCGTTGGTATCTTTCTCTATCAACAAGCTCTCCCGTCACCTCTGTTCTTTTCCCACAATCTATAGGTGTGTTGCTCGGTTTACAACCAAGCATGCCAGTTTCGGTCAGCAGGTCAAGAATGTATTTTCGCTGTGAAATACTGATACCCCTTTTTGATCTCACGACCTCCATACCTAAGAAATACCGCATTTGGCCTAGGTCCTTTACTTCGAATTCAAAAGCCAAACTTTTCCTTAATCTGTCAATCTCAGTCAAGTTGTCTCCCGTGAGGATTATATCATCTACATACACAATTAGGATTGTTATATTTCCTCCATTAGATTGTCGGAAAAACATAGTGTGGTCTGACTGCCCCTGTTGGTATCTTTGATTCCTCAATACCTTTGCAAATCTATCAAACCAGGCCCTTGGTGACTGTTTGAGACCGTATAGTGACTTCTTAAGCTTCCACACCCAGTCTTTTCCACCTCTATTATTGAACCCAGGTGGTACTGTCATAAAGACTTCCTCTTCCAATTTCCCATTCAAAAATGCATTCTTGATATCAAGTTGATGAAGAGGCCAATCCAAATTGGCTGCTAGAGATAGGAGAACTCTGACTGTATTCAGTTTAGCCACCGGTGCAAATGTCTCCAAGTAGTTAATATCATATGTCTGTGTGTACCCTTTGGCTACTAGTCAAGCTTTGTATCGTTCTATCGTCCCATCTACTTTATACTTCACATTAAACACCCATTTACAACCAACTGGACTTTTACCTTTTGGTAATTCCACCAAATCCCAAGTTTCATTTTTTTCCAACGCCCGCATTTCCTCCATTACAGCTTCTCTCCATTTGGGAGCTTCTAAGGCCTCCTGAATGTTCTTTGGGATTTCTGTATTGTCAAATTTCGTGATAAAAGTACGAAATTTTGTAGCTAAATTGTTATAAGACACAAATTTAGAAATAGGGTGGAGAGTGCACGACCGAGGTTGTTTTCTAAGAGCAATAGGTAAATCATCACCTGGAGATCCTGAGTTATTGGATGGGATTTCATTCGACCCTATCACCGGTTCTGACTCTTTTGGTGCTTCAGGTGTGAGATTACTCGTAAACTTTGGTTTTGGCCTCCTTGAGTAAACTAACATCTCCTTGTTTCTTTGATTTCCTGCATCTCCCCATATGTTCGAGTTTCCTTCTGTTGATGGCATATTGGATGTGAAATGTTCAGTGTAGGTTGGCTCAGGAGGTGAGAGGTCAAAGTTAAAAAACTTGTCAAGTAACCTCTCTTTATTCAGAATCTCCCCCTGAAGAGAGGGTGGTTGGAAGTAGGGTGTCTTTTCAACGAAAGTGACATCAAGACTGACAAAGACTCTTTTGGTTGACGCTTTTGGTTAACGGAATATAGCATTTATATCCCTTTTGAGTAGGTGAATATCCAATGAACACACATTTGAGTGCACGAGGTTCTAATTTATTTCGATGGTGAGAGGAAATATGGGTAAATGCTACGCATCCAAACACTTTCAAAGGTAGGTTAGAGTGGAGGCGAGTGGTAGGAAAGTGTGCCTGTAGTTTCTGTAGAGGGGAGTCAAAGGCCAGAGTACGACTGGGCATTCTGTTGATTAAATATGTGGCTGTTAGGATAGCATCCCCCCAAAAAAATTTAGGCATATTCGTAGTGAACATCAAAGCACGAGTAACTTCTAGAAGGTGCCTATTTTTTCGCTCTGCGATTCCATTTTGTTGAGGGGTATTGACACAAGAAGTTTGGTGAACTATCCCATGTTTTTGTAGATAGTCTCGGAGTGCAACATTGATATATTATGTGTCATTATCGGTACGGAGTATTTGGATTTGGATCTGAAATTGAATTTGGATCATTGTATGAAAATTGATAAACACAGAGCGAACTTCAGATTTTTCTTTTAATAGGTAGACCCAACAAACTCGAGTATGGTCATCTATAAAAGTGATAAACCATTTTGAATGTGTTCGAATGGGAGTTCGAGATGGTCCCCATAAGTCACTGTGAATCAAAGTAAATGGTTTAGATGGTTTGTATATAGAGGTTGGATACGAGGTACGCTGATGTTTTGCAAGTTCACAATTCTCACATTGAAAGTCAAATGGAATTTTATTCGAAAATATTGAAGGGATTACACGTTTCAAATACTGAAAATTTGGGTGGCCTAGTCTATAATGCCATAACAGAATTTCACTATCCTTAGAAGCAGATGCAGGCTCACAAATAGCAATTTGATGTAGTTTACTCAGATCAGCGTCCTCAAAGTAGTACAGTCCCTCACATTCTTTAGCACTGCCAATCGTCTTCCCCGATGAAAGGTCCTGAAAAACACAATGAGATGGAAGAAATTTAGCTAGACAATTGGAGTCCCTAGTTAGTTTGCTTACTGATAAAAGGTTACATGATAATTTTGGAACATGCAAGACAGATTCAAGAGTGATAGAATTAGAAATTTTGATACTCCCTTTCCCTGCAACAGATGAGAGAGAGCCATCTGCAATTTTGACTTTTAACATTACCCGCACAGGTTGAATATGAGGAGAAAAGATGATATGCATCTGTCATATGATCCAACGCTCCAGAGTCTTATAATCCAGGGAGTTTTAGATTTTGAAGTAGTAAATAAAGCTGTCAAATTATTACCTTTATGAGCTAGGGAGCTCGAAGGACAATTGGGAAGAGAACGGACCAGAAGTTTGAAGATTGGTGAAAAGTTGGTAGAGTTGTTCCAATTGTTCGGGATTGAATGCACCATTTTGAGTAGGATTAATGTTTGCCTCAGCTTGATATCCCCGACTCCTAGTGTTTTGCCTTGGCTTCCAATCAGCGGGTTTTCCATGTAAGTCCCAACATGTGTCTTCTTGTGTCCGGGCTTACGACAATGTTCACACCACGGTCGGCCACGTTGCTTTTGATTTGACCTATTTATTTTTTATGACAAGCCCATGGATTCTAGCCCATCAGTTTCAGGCCCAAAGCCCTTCCATTTACCAAACCCTTAAGCAGTTTTTTTTTCTTCAGTTGGGCCTTTAATTGTTGGCCCAACTCTCCCACAATTCTCAAGCCTCTTTCCTTTCAGCAAAAGGGCCGAAACCTCAGTTGGTCCGTTTCCATCCTCCAGCATAATCGAACGGCGAGCTTCCTCCCATCGCACCTCCGAGAAAACTTCGCGAAGGGATGGCAGTGGTCGCCGGCCAAGGACACGACCTCCGACATCGTCGAGGTCTCGATTCAAACCAGCCAAGAATTCATAGACCCGTTCGTTTTCCATCTTCTTCTTGTACCTCACACTGTCGAGTGGACAGAAAGAGGAATGTCTTCCTTATAGTTGGTTTCATGGAATTAACCAGCCACGCGATGACCATGGAATTTTCAGAATTCCATCGCTGAAGTAATGCAGCCTCCGTTGGTCTCTTCGAATCGCCGGTAAGGTAACCCAGCTTCCCTTTTCCATCGATCACCAATTTTATTGATTGGGCCCATTCACGGTAATTTTTCCCATTTAATTTTTCGACGGTGAGCTAGAATGACGAGTTCTCAAAAATGTGAGACCCAATTGTGGAGTTAACCTCCGTTTCGATATGAGGGTTGTCGGAGATGACTGACCCTGAACTGTTGAAGGGGATTTCGGCCATAGGTTGCTAGGTTTAGATACCTAAAGCTCTGATACCATGAACGAAACTGAGAGAAATAAAGTCTTATTTCGTTAATTCAATATTAAAGCATACACATCCTTTTATAATACAAAAATGGAACTAAAGAAGGAAAAGAATAAAGAGAAAAATAAGTAATATCCTACAAACAATCAATTTTCCCTACGGTTTCCTACAACAAAGTAATTAGAAAGGTAGAAAAAGATTTATCAAATATGTTTGACTCTCGATTATGAAACTATTTACGAAAAAGTCAAGATTCAATCCTCACTTCCATGCCAGTTCTTTAACTACATTGTTATTTTATTTTCCTTCCTGTTTCATATGGGCAAGGTCAAGTAGATTGTCCCAATTTTTAACAGTACCAGTTGGGTCAGAACAGCAATTGAACTCCCAAATATTTATAATTAGATACTTTAGAGAAAATATGTCAAAGAAAACTTTCTTATTCCGAAGACTAAACCAGAATCGAAAGAAATGTTGCACAGTTTATAATGTATCTTAACATGGGATATAACAGTGTGGCAAATTAATTTTCCCAGTGGCTCTTTAAGTGAAGGAATAATCTGGTCACAAAGTACTCTACAATGTGTAAAATTAAAACTAAAAACTTGCATACGAAACTAAAAGAAACAAGCTCAAGCTTACCGTAGTATCGGTAGAGCTGTACTGCCGTTACCACAGCCCACCTCCAAAACCTTGGAATAATCCTTACAAGAAGCTAGTTCAGGAAATTCCTTCAATAAGTACCGTCTCTCCTGCGTGCAAAAATAAATGTTAAAAGTCAAAACTGAAACAAGGAAAGAAAAAGAACTAAAATATGCATCAAAATAAAGCAAAAAGAAGAATTGCTATCAAGAAACTCAAAAACAAACATCAGATGCACATGCTAACCAATTCAGAACAAACAATAAAAAATAAAAAAAATCTTACTATGGGCCAAGCTAGAGTAATTACACGGTTATGGAACAGTTTCTGAGGCATTAATGAAAGAAACAGTCAAAGCCCAAGAGTATGACTAAAGAAGAGCAAAGAAACCCGGTAGCTAGGCCATTTATGTAAGTATTCTTCAATAGTTGTAAAAAAAGCCTCCTTGATGGTATAGCCTTGTTAAAGTTTCATTTCAGATTGCTTCTGAAAAAGTTTCTCATAAATTCTCCAAAAGTTTTAGATAAGTTTTTGGTTTATATTTTTACATGTCAGTCTGCATGCTGGAAGACTAGAAACACAAGAAAAACATTTGGTTAACATATCAAATATTCATTTGTACATTTGATAGTAAAACCTTTTTCGCAGAACATACTTTAATATTAAATTCAAGTACTCCTTGGTGACTCCTGCTTATTGCAGTGAAACTCTGGAAGGTTAAGTCTAGCTGCATTCCTAAATTTTCCGTGAAATTAAGTTACTTAAAACTTTTATCAGAAAGTGGAACCAATACCACATTTTTCACTACATACATACATATACTTGCGTCCCTATTGTTTCAATAAAAACATATGTATATATGTATGTACGGACCATTAGTCAGCAGTTTCCACCATTATCTGATTTCTGTTGGAGAGATTTTCAAAAGACTGTCATTTAGACATTGGACATTGAATCAAAGATGGGAATACAAGTCAAGAAGCATTGGATCAAGACGGGATGAAGGATCTAATCAAAATTTTGGCAAGCTTGAATATCAAGCTAGTGCAGGCTAGTGCACTCGTGCTAGCATACTGCATGGCAGAGCACCGGCACTTCTAGGCAAAGTGCTGTCTTGCAGCACAGGTATGCTGCTGGTCGGTGCGCTGTTAAGCAACACCAATGGTGACTTTTAATCACTAACTGATCTTTAGGTGTTAATATTCAAATTCTTTCAATTTTCTTTGATTTCAATCCTAAAATACACATTCCAGTTGTTGCAACTTATTGAAAGGGTGTGACATGAATCTATATATAGATTCAAGTTTTCTTTGATCAAATAAGTGAAAAATTGCTAGAATTGTACATTATTCTCTATACCTTCTACACTTTCTTGCATTCTTTTCACTTCATTTTGTATAAATCCGAACTTTATATTATGCTATAACGGAATATGAAGCCTCTTGAATAAGTTTATCAAGTTCTTGGTGTTCCGGTTGTTTTCATTAAGCTCACTGACGCCGATAACATTCAAAGAGGTTCCATTGTCTTTTGGAGGTATATTTGGTATCCCTTGTGCATTCATTATTGATGAGGGACAAATATTTTCTTAAGAAGTAATGTTATTCATCTCCAGTGGGGATGAAAACACAGTTTATGTGACTTTAAATGATAATTATTTAATTTCACCTATCATTTAATATTACATTGACGTCGCGTAGACTGTGTTTTCATCACCAGTGGGGATGAATAGCATTACTCTTTCTTAAGAGAAGCAATATAGTACCATGAAAGTTTGTGTTTTCATTGTTGCAAAAGAATTCCCACCAACATTTTCCTCTATACACATATGACTTGGATACTAATGTGCAATGTGTAAAATAATCCCACAAAAGAAACAGATATCAAACCCTTATTGCTCACATTGCCTTCTACAAAACTATCCACCAAAAACGTGAAGACCAGTACACACATGAAACTATTAATATCTACACTCAAGCTCAAAAGAAAAGAAAAATCAATTGAACGCAATATGCATTCACAAGAAAAGTGCCTTCACTAATTTTTATTTATCAAAAAAAACTTGTTTTCCTTATTCCCTTTACCTTAAAGAACTTGCCAGTGGAGTGACGAGCATGAAACTTGTTCCATGCTTCGGAGTCTTGTACGTCGTCTTGATTTCCCGAATCAACTTTTGAGTAAGGGAGCAAGTGGTATTGAAGAGAGGGATCATTTTCGACTTCTTGTCTCAATTCATCCCACTCGAAATCCTTAGAATAGTAATTTTCTGCTACCCAATTTTGTTTGCTCATAATTTAGGGGTATCTCTATGGCCCTTCCTTTGCTGGGCAAGGCTTCGGAATCATTAACCAACAGCTACGTTGAAGCTTTTTTCCGACGGAAGAGGGGAGAAGATTCAGAGAATTTTTGGGCTTACGCTGAACATATTTTTATGGAAAATCCAAATTTACACGAAGATTTTAGGGAAATTTACACAAACAGCACTCCCAGTTGAGGGGAAAATAATTACTCATTTTTTAATAAAATAATTTTGCAAGAATTGTGCCGATCCGAGTACAAATGAATATTTGAAAATTAAACCACTTATTCATTCTACATAATTTATTCATTAAAATGATTCATATTGATGAAAATGATTTTCACTTTCCAAGTTTAACTAAACACAACAATTTACATTTGAATGAGTTCTTTCAAAACATGTTTTAATATCACTTCTATCTTCTTTATATTTTGAGGGGCCATAAATATTAACTTGGAAATGCTGAAAGGAACTCAAATTCTTATTAATCTAAAGTTATATTTATGGACTATGAAATTTAATGAATAATTTTGTCTGACTTTATAAACAAATTGAATGCGAATTTGACGTAATACTATGGGAAATTCATTAGAAAAAACGTACGATAATTGGGGATAAAAAATAAAAAGTAAAATTTTTTTTGGATTAAATTAAACTTGTTTGGTTCTTGTTATTAGAACCAAGAATTGGATCGAAATCGACCAATTATCGATTTTAATAACTAGAAGCAATAAGTACTTGGGTATAATCAAGTCGATCAGTCCTAACCTGATTTTGATTCGATCTAATGGTTATGATAACTTTTGCCACTCCTAAATTGTGGATGCATAAAGATTTTCCTACTTTCTAATTACTCATTCTCTCAAAAAATCACAAATTTTTCAAAAATTCTCTTCTAAATGGGGGCTAAAATTCTCTCTTCAAGAACAAAAAGCTCTTTTTATTATTTCCCGAGCCATGCATTGCGACTTATGAATTCGTGCCAAAGCCACACGCACCTGTCATATTTTTCGCATGTTAAAAGGAAGTAAAACAAACACGATTGTGGTACATGAACATAATTGTTTATACATATGTAATGTGGTGAGATGTGATTGACTCATAATTTCTTCAACCAAATAAATAAATATAAAAAAACTTATTCCCTCTTTTTTTTGACACATCATCAGTATGTAAAAAATTATATAACTTCATTATGTACAAGTAATATTATTCAAACAAAAATGTATAATTTGTGTACAATGTACACACCAATCTCCTCATGTGTTTGGTACAATGTAAAAAGGCAAAGTTATTTATAATTACACATTGTTTCGTCAATTTTTTAACTGATCAAACTATAATTTTAACTACCATTTCAAAGGGTTCACAATTTTTATCTACTTTTTAACAACATATTTCATCAACTTTTATCAGTTAACACTTTTATCTAAAACTTTGTCATACAAATCCTTAATAAATTGAACATAAACCAACCTCCTATACTCGTCAAGCTGGTAGAGCAAAACAATATGTGCAACTGCAAGACATGATTTTGAACACAGTCAAGCTACATGCACACTATCTTTTACATTATTATTTACATTGTGCCACGTGGTAGCACACCGTTGAACAGTTTTAAAAAAAAAACACTTTACCTGTCGACAATTTTTTTTAAAACATGAGTGATGTCTAAACAATGTATATAAAAAAATGTACACTTAGCATTATTCTCCAAGATGAATCTACTTAAATGTCATTACTTCACCAACATTCTCTTCCTTTACCACCTCTCCTATCCCCACATTGTCATTGGAACTTTTCGTTCTCGTATATCCTTTTCGACCTACAATGCAAACATCAACCCAAGCATCCACTAGCATAGCAACACCAAAGTTAATCCTCTACTTGAATATATTTATTTGATAATATCAAATCTACACAAATAAATAAGTAAATATTATATCTAACTTCGATTATTGTTTAAGTCTCATTTTATTGTAAGAATGAATTTTGGAATGGTAAATTGATGGACAATGTGTGGTTGAAAATTGAATAATGCTATTTATGCTCAGTGGGGATGAAAACACAGTTTAGATAGCTTTAAATGATAGGTTAAATGAAAGGTGAAATTAAATGACTTATTTAATTTCACCTATCATTTAATGGCACATTAACGCCACGTAAACTATATTTTCATCCCCAGTGAGAATGAATAGCATTACTCTTAAAAAATAACAAAAAGTCGAAAAGTTTTGAATTTGCATGTAATATTATTTTATTGAAAAATATATATTTGAAAATAATATTAAAAAAATGTATTTTAAAAATAATGGAGATCAAACAAGACAGTATGTTCCTCGCACGATAAGAAAAATCTTATGCAGGAACAGCATTTCTATTCTATATGGCATTTGAATCTATTTCGTTTTTCGACTTTTAATATCCGTTTTCCTGTTGAAAAAGAAAGAAAGAAAGAAAAAACATCTGACAGCTCAAATGGCATAATTCTGATATAAAGCTAATTTACCTGAATATTAAAGAAAGATTTATCAACTAGTTGGTTAGAAAAATCAATAATATAGTTCTATTTCCACAGTTATAGCGCAATCGAATTCTCTATAACTTTAATCTAAAAAAGGGCCCTCGTATATCAACATGGTGATTTTGATTTAGCATTCTTTCACAGACCTTCACCTGATCTTTGAAGGACCCTCCGGATCTCGTCAGCCATTCCTTGGAGAAGAACAGGTTTTCGAATAAGACCATTCATGCCGGCTTGTAAGCATTTTTCCAATATACGATCCTCTGCACTTGCTGTCAGGGCTATGATTAAAGGCCAATTACGGCTGCGAAACTTGCGGATCCTCAAAGCAACTTCAAAACCGTCCATTTCTGGCATCTGAAGATCCAAAATGACAACCTGGAACGAAGTTGCTGACGGCCCCAGAGCACTCAAACACTCAAAGCCAGATGAAACGGTAGCTACTTGGCAGCCTAGTTTCTCCAGCAGCTTTTTAGTAACCATTCTGTTTATATCATCATCATCAGCTAAAATTACTCTAAGGCCCCTGAGCTTTGAGTTGGAGATCTGTTGCTCGGAATTCCCAACTTCAAACATGTGTCGTCTAAAAGAAGACTGTTTCTGGAATCTGAGAGTAAAACTCATACTGTGCACTCGTCCCTCTGAATTTGAGGACATCCAGATATTACCTTGCATCATCTGCAGAATTTTTTGCCCCACAACACGATCAGATGAAATAATAGTAACAGGAAAGTTAGCTAAATTAGATTCAACTTGCATGGTAAGTTCATAAGAAAGGAACAAAGAAGTGTCAATAAGTCAATAAAAGGAAAAGGAAATCAAAAGGCATCATACTTATAGATACTTCTGAACAATACAGAGAAGTAAAGTACGTTTATGCAATACAATGATAAACTAGAGATCAAAGATTACCTGCCCCTACAGCAAAGGACTAGTACAGTTAAGACTGTACAAGAAGGACGTTAACACTTGTATACTTCAGTCAATTACACCAGGAAACATGGCTCGCTAAGTGCTTGGGATATTTGCTAATTAATTAGGGCCTTACTTAAAACACCGACATAATTGTTATTTGGGATGCATTGTGTTTATCAAGTAGAACTATCCAAACACGATTCCTCACCATACATTTGCTATACCAGACTACCAGTTCTAATTCTAATAACCTCTCCCTTTGCAGGGCAAAGAAGAGAAGAAAACTTAGGGTCCATTTTGCAGGACTTTTGAAAAGTCAAAAGCTACTTCTGAGACTGAAAAGCTCTTTTAGAGGATAATGTCTCGAAAGTGTTTTGTCTAGCTAGAAGAGCTCTAGAGGATGCCAGCCAAAGGTAACTTCCTTTGGATGCTCTTTTGCAAGAAGTAAAAGAAATGACAAAAGTCTTGTCAAACGGACCCTTAATGTCATAGAATGAAGTGGAGTTAGACCATGTGAAAGATCTTGTTGGGAATGTGATCTTATATCAATACCGCTTGCTTTCGTAATGAGCGGTTGGATTCTTGAACAAGGCAATACCTCTTTTGGATTCTAGGCCAGGACAAGTGCTCTTTTCTTGTCATCGAATTTCTCAATTGTGGGATGGGAAGCTCAACCCATATGCATTTGGGGTTGGCTGGCATGTATAAGCCAGCCCTTTGTTTAATGTTATAACACTTTAAATTCCTAATGCAAATACGATCACTTCTAAATAAGAGAATATTATCAGGTCTGAGAAAATCCTTCAAAATAAATTATAATTTATTTCCCTTAAGTATCTAAACTTGGTAAGTCTTCAATATAACATCTTTAAGGATCTTCATCACAAAAGTTACTACATGTCTTCTCTACTAGAACGTGTACCACCTCAACAAATTATACTTCATCATAATTCCCTTGTTAATCTCCTTTAACATAAATGTGCATCGTGTTTCTTAATTTTTTCTAATCTTTTAAGAATCTCAAATCCAGTATCAAACTAATATCCACCTTAGCTGCCTTCAATTCTGTTTTCCTTCTAGCCTATTAGACTTCAAAAAGGAAAAAGAAAGAAAAAAAGAAAGAAAAATGACAGGAGGTAAGCAGAAATTTGGAAGAATCGGGTTCGCCACAATGACAATCGTCTAGCGATTCAAGTGATGGCATATAGGTGCCCAACCCCAACACCCACCATTTTGTCAATCCTATTCTTGAGAACTCTCCTTCAAAAGATTCCAGCATCCCAAGATATAGTTGCATGAGCCTAATTAACCCAAGGATGTTGAAGCACTAAAATACAAACATAATAAACATTAGAACTTCCCTTTAAATTCAGGATATAAGGACTCTTCCACGTTATTGCCAAAAACAATATAACATCAACCTGGTAAACCAAGAATAACCAAAGATTATGAGTTTTAAATGGTAACATTGGGCTCATGCCACGTTAGTTTGGCATTCAAGCAAGGTGTATGGATGATAGAATCCTTCTTGTGCAGACAAAGTTCAAAGTTCAGGAATTTGATAGCAAACTACTCTGCATCCCCAGAACTGGACATTATGAAAACTAGCAAAGGAAATAAAGCAATTCAGCAGCTTGAAAAAAGCAACCATTCCTCATGCCTACCCATAAAATACGAAGCTAAATATGTATTTAGATCATGTGTCTGTCAAAGATCTAGTTAAGAAACATGCTAAAGGAGCTCATTTTTACACAAAAGTAAGTAAATAAGACATTCAAAAATAACACATACACATTCCGCAAGATTTCGAAAAAGCAACCTATCTTATGTTCGTCAAGGGTTTAGATAACAAATTTTCTCTATGTGCTCATTTTTACTTGAGGAAGGCAAAAAGAATTTAAAAGATAACATATAAGTGCATTTAGCAACGAAGCTACTTTGCAAGACCAAAGCCAGCTTATTAAAATTAGATAACAAGATTGGTCTTGCAAAGTAGGAAAAATCTAGCTTTCCTGAAAACAAGAAACCCTACATCCTCATGCTTCTTAAAGCATAGTCTGTTTCACAAGCTTAGAGATTCTTTCAGTTGAATTAAATCAAAGTTATTCATTTTTTGGGCTGTTGGGGAATGAAGTTGAACTTGGTAGAGTATATAATATAGTTCATGGATTGTCTTAATTTTAGAAGATATTTTTAAGGAGTACACAAAGGTTATGTAGTTCTATCTAAGGTGCATGATGAATCTTGGAAAATCTAAATTAAATAATCAGGAAGGGTAACAAGATGAAGGTTGATTCTTATGGTGCACTAGAACTATACTAGAAAGACTCAAAAAAGGAATTTTGCTCAAAGACAAAATATGATACCAATATAATTAGATAACCATACAGTCCACATTCCTTTTTACCCTTCCCTACGAAAACCTCCTCGCAAGTGTGTTCAAGCATCTTTCACCGATAACCTTCACTCCATTGGAGGAACAATTTAACCCATGGCACACTCTAATTTTTCACAGATCACCTTCATTAACCCCTCAACAAGCTTATGGGGAAAATATTTGGCATCAAGAGAAAAACTGGAGGGTTTTTCCCATCAACACAAGGAAAATTGAAAATAGGTTTTTATTTTCAACACTAGATCATAGATTAATAGGTATTTTGACTAGAACTAATATTTCCCTATGTGCAAATGAAGCTTTAATGGGTTTCAAATTGCATACATGCACAAAAACTTATCATAGAGACAACAAAAATATGGCAAAAAGCGTCAATGGCCAACAACGTCATGCTGTAAAAAAATCCAACTAAATTAGCATCCAGGCAAGTAGAAGACAAACTAAGTTGGAAGGCACGTAGAATTCTGTGCATTAAATATTTGAACCATCTTTAATTTTTGATGAAATCCATGCTCACCCAGTAGCACTAATCTTACAGTTAACAATAACTGTGGAACTTTTGTTAACAAAAAATGAACTGAATAAAACCCAAGTAAAGGAAATTGATGAAGGGGTAGTATTCAAAATCCTCACCTGCACAAGCTTTTTGCACATGCTGAAGCTGAGTCCCTGTTTAATTTCTTTGTTGTTTTTCCTCCTGCGAGCTAAATAATTTGTAGATGTCGAGCTTTCCAACTGTAAACTTTCAACATTAACTTCAACTTCAAATTTCATGCTCACGGACTCATCAGTAGTGCTTGGTCTTTTTACTGCCCACAAATTGTTATTCCTGCCTTCAATTCCACCATCCTCAACAGCCCGGAATATGACTGACCCTTTTCCGTCACTGACATCCAGTAAATGTCCAACAATATGCAGTAAAACCTGAAATGTCCTCCTCTCATCACCCATTACCTCATTAGGCAAAGTATTAGGAAGATCTGTGGCGAAAGCAAAGCCTTTGTAAACACACAAGCACTTAACAAGACATGAAGCTTCTCTGATCATCGAATGCAGCCGAAAGGGTCTCATCTCTAAAGGAAATCTTCCATCTTCTTTGGCAGATATCTCCATTGCATCATTTATTAAAGTCGAGAGAACATTACTGGTCTTAAGCACTGTGTCAACAATTATCCTCTGTTCAGAGCTCTTATTCTCGTCTTGAAATATGGCCAGTAATCCTATTATTGAATGAAGTGGGCGCCTCATCCCATTGCTCATCACTCTTTGAAAAGCATCCCTTGCTTGGTTTGCCATCATTGCATTCATTTTAGCATGCTGCAAAACCCGATTTTGCTCTTCCAGTTTCTCCCTCATTGACTGAGACTCCTCAAGAACTGCAGCATGGGACAGAGCAACAGCCACCTGATCAGCAATCACTTCTACTATCTGCATCTCGTTGATGCTCCAAACTCTGTCACTTGTACTTGGAAGAACCAAAACTAATATGGCATAACGAGTATCAACAAACTCTGGTGTCCCACCTTTAAAATTCGAAGCACGAAGCATCGGCATCCTAATCGCTGCAACAGCACCCGTCTCAGTACTCCCATCACAGCTTGCAGCTCCCAAAACTGATTCTTGTCTCAAAAACCTCACTCCTTCATTTTTTATAATCTCTAACACATCTGGATCATTTATGGAAATTGAACACATTGGCATCCTATGATGCTCCCTCGAAATTGCACTCAACTGATAGGCCAGGTCCATCTCCATTCCGTTCTCATTTAGCATCCACACTGCACAGTTTTGCAAATCCAAGGTTTTCGAAAGCTCAACAAGAGTTGTGTATAATATTGTGTCCTTATCAAGGGACTTCCTAATTTCTTGAGTAAGCATCCGTACATGCATGCTCACCTCTTTCTGTTTCATCATCATGCCAACCTCTTGATCAAGTTCCAACACATTTTGCCTCAAGAAAAGTTCCCTAACTTTTATTTTGAGAAGAAGAGGGATCAGAGTCAGGAGGGTTATTGCAGTTGCACAAGAGACAAGGGCAGTCAAAATTTTTGCTACTGTAAGCGCCATCATCAACTGGAAAGAATGAGGACCGTAGTACGTCCAGCCATTGAGCAGATGAGTCAACCCACAGAGGACTATAAATGCAACAAATTGGAGAAGCACCCATTTGAATGGAACATTCGAGCAGCTAAGAAAGTAAAGCAACTCGATTGGAATAGAAAAATAGGCAATTGCAATTAAAAAATCACTCACTTTCTGGCACTCAAGAATACGATTGAGACTCCAGAATCCATCGTCATCACAATTACAGTTGGAGAATTCATTATCAACTGCAGAAGCCGAGACAATAATCAAGGCAATCGACAATTGTAGAATTACCAGCTTTAACATTGCAGCCATGGAGACGACCTTTTTCTTAATCCATCAAATTCAATTTACAAAACTTCAATAAATTGAATTAAACCCCCAAACCCCAAGATTTGGATGCGCTTCCCTCTGCAAACATACATCTGCTGATGACATAAAATAACAAAATAATACCCAAAACCAATCTACCATGATTCCAGATCTAGCATACCTCCATTCCCAAAGATTCCAGTTTCCCAGATGACCAAAATCTCCAAATTTCTCATATATACTTTCATCAAAACTGCCTAACCATGTCTTATATCTTCCTCCATATCTAAACAAATACCTGCGCAACAGTCAAAATAAATATTAGAAAAATAACTTACATTTATCTCCAAGACATTAACTTTCAAATCACAAGCACTATAATAGAACAGATCAAAACAAAATCCAAGACTCTCTCTGCATCGATGCAGAGAGAACTAAATTCTCGGAGAAGGGATAAGAAATTCATGAACCAAAGAAACAGCTCCAGATGTTTACTATGTTCTTTGTTTTCCCCCTTAATTCTTTCGAGAAAAGCTATCTTGAACCTTCTTGTTGTACCCAGCTTCCAAAAAGATCGGCAATGATTAATAACTTTCCGCCAGGTTGACAAATTGCATCATAAAAATCGAACAGAACGATTCACTGTTCAAATCTTAATATACATAATTATATGGACCAAAACAGCATCATAGAACAAAATTAGACCATTTTCCAAGTTCAAAATGCTATCAACCCACGTGCAGAAAACAAAAAAACAAAACGTTAGTATCAATGAATGAATGAAAATGATAACAGACAACTCCAAGAAGAAGAAGCCCAGAAAACAGCAGTTACTTCTCAGATTTTTTGACTCATCGCAGAAGTTGAAAAACGCATCCACTCAGAACCCCATTTTTGTCAATAATCTATGCTGTTATAAGATTTTGAGAGAGAGATGGAAAGTATATAAATATATAGATAGTCGGGAAATTGACGCTACTGCTACAGAGTTACAGGCTACAAAAAGGTGTGAAGCAGAGAAAAATGGCGTTTTGAAGATGCTGCTGGGGTTGGCGGTGGGGTCTACTAGACTTTACGTGCAGAGAACCTGGACGTTTTGGTTCCGTCACTCTCTCTTATTCATGCCCCTCTTTCAAAAAAAATGAACATTTTAGTGGGTGTTCGATGTACGGAGAAGAACGTGATGGGATTGAAAATATATAATTAGAAGAAAAGAAAAAATTTTGAATTTACGTATAATATTATTTTATTAAAAAATGTGTGCTTGAAAAAATGAATTTTCGTGAGAATGTGTATCAAACGGGGATTACAATTTCTTCGATGCTCATATTTAAGCCCCTGTTTGGTAAAATTCCAAATACTTTTCCTACCTGTCAATTAATTCTTCTTTAATTTTGTTAATAAAATAATTTTGGAACTACAAAAATAATTATTAAATAGTTAACACCGCATAAAAACATTCCTCTTAAAGTAGCTATCGATACAAATAAGAGAAACTCTATTATAACCATTTCTGTAAATTCAATGTACCCTAATGATAGGGGAATACATACAGTTAAATTCAAATCAATGAACTTCATCTGTCATTCTGGGTGTGTTTGAGCCAAATTATTTTGAAATAATAGATTGATGGAGAATGTATAGTTGAAAAAGAAGGAAAAGTTATTGATGTGATCAGATGGAAAATATTATTTTATTAAAAAATGTGTTGTTGAAAATGAGTAGAAGAATGAGTATAAAAATTTTAATATGTACCAAACAGGGGTTCTATCTGTACATGTTATCTTGCTAAATGTATAGGGTATGTCGACAATTTCTTTGACAAATTGTCGACTATTAAGATTTAATTTAATATTGGATAAAAAAAACGTAATTCAACCACGTAATACCCAATTCCATCATTTGGAAGAATGAAAATCTATGATGTGACTACAAAAAATGATGATCATCATTTATTTCATTAAAAATTGTACTTCTTTTAACAATCGATCATTTATAATGCGGGATTTGACACTTTTTTTTTTTTTTGGGTGGAAATGTGTTTTGTAATATTAATTTTTTTGAAATTGTGAGGTTAAATAAAATTGGGTTTACATGTAAAATTATTTTATAAAAAAATGTGTAATTGAAAATAAGTTTTAAAAAAAGGCCATGTAATAACCACAATTTATTTAGTGCCATATTATCAATTTCTATCGGGAGAATTCGATAAAGTTACTTTAATTGAAATAAAATCGAAGTATAGTTATCTAATTGAGATCAACTTAAAATGGAGTATCTTAGTCAAATTAAATTATAATTGTCCAATTCAATAAAATTGAATTACAATTACTTAATTGACAATAAGTGAAAGCATAATTATCACAAAATGAAATTTACCAGAAAAAACAACAATCCTCGTCCTTTTTTCAAACTTGAGATCGACTATGATTAAGTGATTGTGTAGAATTGATTTTTGAAAAATCATTCTCCTCCTCGCTCATTTTCTACTAAACATTTAAAAAAAAAAATTGTTTTTCACTTCTTCGTAACTTTTTGCTACGTTTTAATCACTCTTTGAAAATTACTTTCACACAAGCACTAAAGAGTAGGAGCCTATCTGGTAAATATTTTCATCAAATTTTTTAGTCAGAAAATGACCATTACAGTCAAGAAGTGGGGCCTAATTGAAGTGGGTAACAGTAAAAAAAATCATTGTAATTGGTTTGAAAATTTTTACCAGACAGGCTCTAGGTGTATCAAAACTTTCAATTTTAGGTTCGAGTCATTATAGACGCTTTGTTCTCAATTCAAATCAAGTTAGACGGCAGATTGGGGTCTCCGTAATCATAATTTTTTTTCATTTTGGAGGTTAGGATTTTAGGTGAAATCAACCCCAAAATGAATAAATAAAAAATGGGTATTAGCACATCTCTATGTCTCAATATTATTGTGCAAAAGTTTTTACCTTACATTTTCACCCTTATTTTTACATTTCATTACGAAAACCATCCTTATGTCCACGTGCTCTCAACTTCTTCTTCAATTGGACACCTGTACCGGTTTTCATTTTTAAATAGGAAGGATAACATTATCTAACACTTTTATTTTTTTGGCCTTTCTTCCCTTGAGAAAAGCACAGTCACCTTTCATAAACTCCCGTATTTCCTCACTTTCCTTTCTTAGTGCAGTCATCCCCTTCCCTTCATTCTATACATGGTTTATTGTGCCTGATAGTCAGAAAAGTAAGATGAATTTTCGGGCTAGATCTGCTGGCAAATTCACATCCCAATTATAAATTTGCAGAGTTGCCAAGTAATGCGCACCAAAATTTTGGGAACAAATTTAGGCAGCTTAAATTCTGCACTCTAATTATACTGTCAAACATATTTGTCAATGTAATTAGCAGAATGAAAGATTCAATCTTGATGTAATAGAGACTTTCGGTGCACTCCGCGGCATCGACCATTTTGATCCAGAACTTGGGTTTCAGTCTATATGAACCACGTATACAAAATCATGATCTCCAGAGGCGACAACACTGTTGAAGGAACAGTGTGGGGGTACACAAAGCCACTGTTTTTGGTGGTTGTACTGTTGGGTACAACTCCATTGGTGGGGAGGTAGTGTGTTGTGACGGCAGCGGTGGAGGTGGGTGGTGGCGGTTGAGGCGTTTGGTGGTGGAGCTGAGAGTGGTAATAACAAGAGCTCAGCCACTGCTGTCGTTATTGGGCTCCATAGCAGAGAATAGAGGTGTAGGATTGGCTTATATTTCTTATTTTTTCCTTATTTTTAATTATTTTTTCCTCAATTTACTAAGAAGAGAATACCTTTTGCACTTTGATTTAGTCCTTATTTGGTGCACAATTTTTAACCAAGAATGCATTTGTTTTTTCAAAAATGCTGTTTGTACAGGCCTTCTCACAAAGCCGTGGGGCCTGTGATTATTTTAATTGCGGACCCCGCCCCTGAATGTGAGATGACTGTCAACTGTGCTGTGAGCCGAGCTGTGTGTGCAGCACTGTTCTTGTTTTTTTATTGTGATAGGGAATATGTGGTTGAAAAAAAAAGTTATTGATTTGATTGAAAATATTATTTTATTAAAGAATGTGGTTGAAAATGAAAGAAAAATGATAATGAAAAAGATAATATGACTCAAATATGGGCTTAATAAAATCATTTTATTTTGATTTGCTCACAAATATACTTGTGTTTGGAATCTCATTTTAATGATAATAGAATTTTTGAAATAGTGATTGATGGGAGAATATGTAGTGAAAAAGTGATGAATAGTTTTAGATTTGTATGTAATATTATTTTATTTGAAAAATGTGTGGTTGAAAGGAAAAATGAAAAAAATGAAAATGAGAAAAAAAAAATGGTGTCAAACAGGGGAATAGTAACTCACCTCAATTTGGTACAATCAGGATATCCAGCTAATTTAATCTGACATGATATGTTAATTCAAACATTAAGTCATGTTTGATCCCCATTTTTTCAAAAACTTTTTTTTGAGCCACATTATTTTGGAAGAATATATT